AGTATATTTGTGTAGGTGTACATAAAATTTCATGTATTTTTCATAAAATTTTATGAAATTTAATGTACATATTTATTACATTAAAGTAACTACTATAACTTAATTTTCTATTAAATCATTCGTTACTTTTAATTTCGTTCACAAGCTTTATTTACATGTAAAGAAAACATTCTAACAGTGTATCTGCATGCAAAGGCTAAACGTCAATTGTTTCAGTACAAGTTGGTTCATATAAAGACGTATTTATATTTCGTGTTACAGGAAAAATAAAACGCGCACATACACACAATTTACATATAATTTAAATCATATGAAGACTTAGAGAGAATATAAAAATTGTTTAATTTATCAATATAAAATTATACTGTAATAGTTATAATACAATAAAGTATAAAAATTATTGTAATATAGTTATTATAATATAGTAAGGAAAATATTTTTATAGTAAATAAAAAACTCTATATGATTTAGAAACATCTATTAAAAAAAAATGAAATTTATTGCAAATTATACATACCCGTTAATGGTGCAGGTGGTTGTTTCCAACCATCTAAACGACACACTTTACAGGATGATGTGACGGGAAGCATAGGTCTAAGACATTGTCGCATGAGACATGTTTGTTTAGCGCGACCGCTGCCTCCGAATTTGACCATGTCTTGACAAAATACGCATTCTCGACAATCCTGTCTAGTGCAAGCTTCACACTTCTTACATCTAGTACGTCTCCTACGTGGAAATGCTCTTTCGGACTTATCCGAGTGATGTCTTTGCGATTTTACAAAACCTTTTCGTACTACTCGCAAGCGTTCCTGAAAAAGAAAGCAAAACAAAGCAAATTATATAAGAGGTATTACTTATTTCAATCAAGTTTCGATTAAATTTCGATTTAATATAGTGAAAGATAGATACCCTGTCAACAATGGTCAAGGGTGGTGGTGGAGGTAACACAGGATTGCCTGTCACAGCTGCTTCTGGATTATCGTGTCTATGCTGCTCTACCAAACATCGAACATCGTGAATAAGAGCGACTGGATCACGCATTAGTTCCGGAACGTTCTTCTTAGTTGACGGCAATGAATGCAAATACATTACTATAGATTTCAAGCCATGCAATTCGAAATCCGTTACATGTACATGCTGATGATGCTGCGGGACTAAGTGTTGTCGCTGTGATTCAGATATATCCAAATGACTTCTACCCAACAGCACATGCACATATCTTTCGAGAACATACCTGTGAAAGTACATAGAGCTTTACAATACACAAGACAACATGTATATCGTACTTAATAATAATACAAAATGCATTATTCATTCTTACCACAACATTTCTGTGAAGAATGGATATCGAAATTTCTGTGGTACTTTTGTATGTTCCTCTACTTGTGCCACTTTCAATTGCATTTCTATACCGAAACTATGAAGGAAATTCCCTCCAAAGACTAAAGAATCCTGAGGAGTATATACCGCATGTATCCAACCAGTTGGTATAAATAGAGTCATACCAGCTGTTAGACTTATCCTGCCACATTTGTCTACCATATCACCAAAGAATACATCTGACTGTTTGCCACTCAGTACCCATTCTTGGTAGAGAGTCAAGTTTTTTTCAGTGGGTGGAATTAGCCAAAAGATTTTCCCACCATGCAGAATATGATACCACACGCTTGTACCACCAAAATCGACATGAAAGTCAGTATAACAACCTTTTACTGACATTAAACAGTATTTCTGTACTTTTGGATACATCATATCTTCTAAAAGGTTCGTAGATTCCACCTGAGATTCCTTCAGATGTCTTGGCCATACTACATCTACCCAATCTACTTGTCGCACTAATGCAGGCGATTGTACGTAATTCTCTAACTTGGTATGACTAAATTCTAATGAGATCACATTCAACAAGCGTTCCTTGTTGGGATCCTCGTAATACTTTTGCCATTCTTTCATAGTCATATCTTCATTCTTCTGAGTATTAACGTCCATAACGTCCAGTACTCTTTTAGAACCTGTTGTACAAATATTATTAACGTCTATCGAACACTGTCTTTCTCACTCATATTTGAGACTTACCAACGCAAGTTCTGACATCGTTAACGGAGAAGTTAGAGCTGGGTACTCGCAAGCCTAGTCCAGACTTATCCCTGAACAGCAGTGGTATCTGTAGACCATGTTTCTGCAGGTATGTTAGATTCAGCTCCGGCCCGGTCATCTCGCGAAAGAGGCCACTGAAGTTGCTCAGGTCATACCTCTTGGCCTCAATCTTCTCGTCAAGTTGAAAAGTCCTGCGACCCTCAATTTCTTCATCGCCTATGGTCCAGTCGTCCGTATACAACTTCCTGGTTCGCTCGCGCTGTAAGATGACACGCGTGTAATGAGATAACACGTGGACCGTACCGCTCGAGGATTACTCGACGCGGCATCAACGTCGGCGTCGACGTTGTCGTCGGCAACGATAACGTCCAGCCGGATTTGCGCGTGCTCTTTGTTTACCAATTGGCGCCTCTTTGGCAGCGGTGCGGAGTCGTCGGCCATTGCGGACATGCAATCAGAAACGTATCACCGGAATCTCATCGGAGTACACGAGTGTCACTACGACGAAGGCAAGAGGGATTCACGACTTACGTTAGTTTAATTATATACGATGCGATTTGTTATGTATTATTTACATGTTAATTGTGACGCGTCGTTGACGCCGCACGAAGCATGTTCCTCACCCGTGTATACTTTCACTGAGCGACACTACGCCATTTTCTTGCCGGCCAGTGCTGCCAACTTCTCCGCCCTTCCCCTCCTACTTCCCGCTGTGACAGTACAGTCTACATTTCCGAAAGTGCGCATGCGCACTGCGTTCGTGAGGCTCTCTGGAAAAGTCGAAAGGCGTCTGAAAGCCGGGGAGAGAGGCGACAAAAAACCAGAAAGAAATATCGCCGCGCAAAATATCGGTTTGTGATTGATGATTTTGCGTTGCGTCGAATAAGTCGTAAGTATATACGTATCTCTGATTGCTATCATCGCTGACTTGTAACAATGCCATATCCTATATTTGAAACAGCATCCTGACTCCCAAAAAAATTTCATTTTAGGAGTTATATGAATCTTAGGGCTGTGTTCCAAAATTCACTGCTAGCGTTGGATCTATAGTTTACGTTATGTATACATTTTTAGCACTGTCAATTTGGAACACAGCCTAGAACATAGAACACAGCGAGAGTCATAATTAAATTATAATGATATAACGTCATCGTAATATATTTGATATTTGAACTTACAATGATAAATAAGATCACGATAATGCCCTTTGATATTATTATTAACGACTTTTATGTTCTATTTGAGAATTTTATCTTTTTCTTCTCTTATATAGTATTATTAAATTTTTACAAGTATATATAGTACTAGTATTATAATTGCGGCCAATTAATTATTTATTTTAAGTATTAAAAGTACTGTTAATAAACTTTTAATACTCAAAATAAATAATTATTATAATTGGCCAGTATTACTTATTAAATTTTTATAAGGGTTACTGTTTTCTAATTTCTTTGCTTGTTTTTTACATACAGGAAGATACATCGCTATGAGAAGGTGTCTGACAACGTGACAGCGTGGCGTTTGATGTAATATCGAAAAGGGCGGGAAAACATTGAGCGGCATTTTGCGCTGGTAGATTTGCGCCTGCGCAGGTCGCTATATAGTTCGCGTCGCGTCGCGTCGCGTTCGATTCTCCGAGAGATGTAGCGATTCTACAATTTTCGTGCGATTTTTTCATCAAGAGCAAGCGTCAGATATAAATTGCGTATAAATTCGTATCGGGAATGTCAAATGAGATATCAGACGATCTTTATATCGCGTAATTATTATCGTCGTGTCTTGAACAAGTCTTTCATAACGAGCGGATCAACCGACTGGCGCCAAGAATTTTTCGGAAGACGGTGAGTGAATTTGCTTATTGCTACGAATCAATGTTTGTTGTGGATGAATATTTTATGAATATCTGCGGCAATGATCATTGTCCTCGCTCGTGTTGTTTTATCGGATATCTGACTGGTATCAATCATGAAACTTTATCCCTAAGATAGAAAGTGAAAAGTGGAAATTTTAATCATTGAAGTTAATGGAGAAATTTTTCAATTTTCACTTTTCATCCTAGAAAAAAAGTTTCAATATTGATGCCCTGTTAATAAAATATAAAATATTTGCATATATATATGAACATGTAGGTGTGAGCGCGTATATTCGTAATTTTTCGAGATCAAGTCGATTGCATTGTATCTTGAAACGAGATGAAAATTACAAAAGTGAACAAATTTACTAGAATATTCATAATATCATTGATATCAACACCTAGCTCGCTTGTAATTTGTAATTTTGAATTTGTTACAAGATTAGGTGTACATTTATCGACTAAAAAGATACAACAGATTTTTTTCTATAATTTTTGGAATGCAGCCGGACGGATCCGTAAGTAAGAATCAATCGCTCGGTGAGTGTACACATAATACTGTGGAGTACTGGAGCGATTACGAATAATTGACGTGCAGTCGCATTTCTTTTTTTCTCAAATTATTCGTCGGGTAAATATAAAAGATCTGTTTTTTATTGCTGCACTCCGAACCGGTGCAATAAGTTGAAGTGAAATAAACGTATATTTATTTCACTTCAACTTATTGCACTGTGTGTACTAGTTCAGAAAGTGCAGCAATGGTCCTGTTCTTTTTGACTGAATTTTTGCACCAGTTCATCTTTCTTCCTCTTCTTTCCTGCTAGAGAGAAAAGAAAGAAAGATAACCTAGTGCAAAAGTTCAGCCAAAAAGAATAGGCCTAATAAAAAAACATTTAAATATTTTGCCGAGACGCGTCGATGCGCGGATAAGTCGTCCCTTGGACGAATTTCGAATTAACCTTCGGAAGATCCGTTCTTGCCGTTCGGCCGGTAAAAATCCGCGCTACTGGTAGCGCCACTTATTTCGGATTTCGGTGTATCTAAATTCAAGGCATTCAAGAAATGGCGACAACCATGGAGATAGACGATGACGAGTGTGATCTACCGACCTCCAGCAGCGGAAAAGGTGAAAAGAAGCGTTTTGAAGTGAAAAAGGTAAGTGTCGATATGTGCTTATAGATCATATATAATCGATTTCACTTGCAGTCGCCGCGCGGCGTGAAAACATAATTTCTAACCTCATTTACGCAGTACGCTTTGTCATTCTGCTCGTCTTATGATACAATCTTGTTGTCTTTGCATTGTTTACTAAGGTCCGATTGCACCAACGTTATTTTAACTTTAAGCGAGGCTTAAACTCTCTCCATCTGTCTTTTTGTCTTTCTGACTTCAAAAAGAAAAAGAGAGTTTAAACTCTGGCTTAAAGTTGAAGTAATATTTGTGTAATTAGACCTCCTAAATTTAATTATGTCTGTTTCAGTGGAACGCAGTGGCATTATGGGCCTGGGGTAAGAACTATCGAGCATTATTATTATACCTTCAAAGTCATCATAATAAACACAGTAACAGACTTTCTAATGTAATTTCTTACATCTTTTAGATATTGTTGTGGATAATTGCGCTATTTGCCGTAATCACATCATGGACCTATGTATCGAATGTCAAGCAAACCAGGCCTCTGCGACTAGCGAAGAGTGCACGGTAGCCTGGGGTGTATGTAATGTAGGTTTACAATATTTTGAGATATTAGGATCGTAAAATTTTTTTACTTGAATCTTATTGTAACTATCTTTGTTTTTAGCACGCCTTTCATTTTCACTGTATTTCACGTTGGCTAAAAACACGACAGGTCTGTCCGCTTGATAATCGCGAATGGGAATTTCAGAAGTGAGTAGAACCTTGTTTAATATGTTATAAATTTTGTTATATGTATATATTATTTTTGTCAAATTTTTTTGTATAAAATTAAAAATATTGATATATTAAAATATTGATATATTAAATTTAAATATGAATAGATATTTTTAATAAAAAATTTAAACCTCTTAGTTTGTAAAATTTTTAATAAAAAATTTTAACTTAATTTTTTTAATGTTTTAATTTTCTATATAATTCTCTAAATATATATATGTATAACGATTTTATCATTTCTGTTTACAGATATGGTCATTAATCGGATGTATTCATTGTTCAAATCAGATTTTTCTTTGTTATTCAGCCATTAATACTCAAGACATTCAAAACTGAAAAATTATTTTTCCATATGGAAAATATAATCTTTACAGAAAAATGATAAATGTATAAATGAAGAGGAAAGTGTGTGGCAAAAAGTATAGTCGAATGTATCAAGTTTTTTATGTAGCAGATCAAATTTCAGACAGTGATGTAAGGCTAATTCAGATCACAATAATCATTAAATTATATTAAATATGTAATTTATAGATTGTAAGTCTTATCTAATAAATAATGATTATGGCACGCTTCTGATGATTTATTAACATCATTTCTGACCATTTTTTAAATAGCAATCTCGATGAATCTTGTGATATTGTAAAATAATAAATTATCTATTGAAGCAAATGATTCTTAACATTTTTGATTAAAGATATAGATACGTTTTAAACACTATTGCGTTTTGTCATTGTATTTATTTCATTTTTCTTTATTTAATCGTAACTTTGATTAATTTGATCTTTTAAAGATTTCATCTAGCAAAAATTCCGTCTTGTTTTACCGCTACACAAATATGAAGGGAATCTAAGGTGAAAGCGGTACTCTTTTTTTATCTTTAAATTACATCCTACTCCCACCACACATTCCTCTTCATCCGATAGTTTTAATTCTAATGCGAATCGCTTTGAAAAGAATTCTCATCAATCTTGTGCGAATCAAAGAATAAATTTTGCATGTTAAATTTATTATCCTTAATTATTCACGACTTTGTTTAAACGAGATATCATACAACGTTTATAATGTGGTTCGCCTTAAGATGTATTAATAGCAATGACATTTATTTAACATAGTTCGGTATTATAGATCTTCATTACGCTCAAGGCGATTCTGCAAATCCGCCTCTATGCGGATACGTAACTCTTTAACAAGATATAACGGGCACCCATCGTCGTTCATGACGTCATGTCGTAAGACCGATCGATCGTACCAAGATCATCTCTTGAATCCCTTTTCCAGTTCTAGGCCATTCACAATACTTATCAGGCGGGCGGAACTGGGGGTAACTCCGACGAGCCGGCTTCTAATCTCGGCATACAGCGAAAATTACATCTTGCAGGATAGCCGAGGAGGGAAAACCAGTCGACATCCGCCTAGAGAGAGAGCAACGGTAAGCTTCTTCCACCTCGATTCTCTGCCGTCTGATTCTAGATCTTGCCGCCTTATTCGTGCGCGAGATAGAAACAAAAAAAAAATAAAAAGAGAGAAAAGGAGCAATCCGCACCTGTAAGAGAACTTATGAATAGTCAGGCAAGGGATGGGAACTAGGGGCGAAATCACCCTTAGTTCAAATCCCTTCGAAGAAAGCGCGCACTTAACGGGAAGAACCCGTGGGTGGTCCGGTCGATCGGTTGATCGGATCATTGAACGGATTTTATTTTACTTTATGTCAGAGTTTGAATTAATTTGCGTTTGTAATGAAAAATAAAATGCGCCTGTCTATGAATGGACATTTCGAGAGATTCAACAATATTTCCGTCAACATCGTGTCGCAAAACTATCCATTAGAAGTAATTTTAATCGCGAATTCTTCGAAAAAGATACAACAGAAAGATGTAGGCAAAAAAAAAGTAAATAATCAAATATATAAAATGTGTAATATTATCGAGATATGTAATTACAACAGTTTTGATCCAAGATTAAAGGTTTTTAATCTTAAGTATCCTCGTTATTGCATTTTCTAAGATACATACGTGTATCACTATAAATAATTATTAACTTGATACATCTCCATCAATCATATATAATATGAGAAGCATTCGACCAGATCCGGAGTATCCATAAATAATTGCAACTATATGAATTAATGAGTTTGTAATAAAAGTCGTTCTTTATATTACGATGGCATTAAAACTTACTTCTTTTGCTCAGAATATTTAATCTACTTTTTAATCTTAAACTCTCACTATTTTAATTTTTAATCCCGGACGTAAACTACTAACACATCTCTCTTGTAATTAGTAAACCGAAGTAGTTTCTGAACTTACCGGTTCAATTCTTTCTTATTGCTATGCTCGAAATTTGCGAGTATAAAAATATCTAAGCACGGTCAGGTCGACATGTCGAGAGTAGCGTCGCGACGAGAGCGTCGATTTTTCGGCGTCGTGGAACTCGCTTGTCATAGCTCGTAGCGGCAGGTGCGTACACTTGCTCGTATAATATTTACCTGGGCGCGCGAGAGATGGGATATAAATACGATTTTCTTCCTCGACGACGACAACGAGGAAGGGTGATGAGAAGGATAGAAGAAAGGGAGGAGAGGAGGAAAGGTTGATCGAGAGAGAAAGAGAGAGAGAGAGAGAGAGAGAGAGAGAGAGAGAGAGAGAGAGAGAGAGAGAGAGAAAGAGTAGGTCGCTGATGGGGGGACGACATGGGGTAGTAGCAAGGGCCTCATTTCCGGCGGAAACAGGTTCTCTCGCCCTCCTTCCCCGATAAAAGCCACCTCGCTCTTCTCACCCTCAACAGAGTCCACCGGTGGTCGTGGTAGCGACGACGGAGGCGGTAAAGGCCAATCGAATTAAATACATTCCCGCGGTGGATCCGACGACGGTGCCTTCGCGATTTTTGTCTCGCGGTTTGTCCGCTCCGATGCGCGCCGGCCGTTCCTTGCTTCCTCTTAAATCTTAGTGTAAATCTACTTTCTAGAGGTAAATTTACTCTGGAAAGCCGGTTAAAGCTGTTAAGCTGTCGTCACTGTATTACACCTGAAGCTCGAGTCGCCGAAATCCTTTGAGTTTCGTCGTTACTGCCGTAACTACGCTTTTTGATATCTTTACATTGAAATAATCGAGTTCTCTTTTGATTTCACATATTCGCTTGAAACAGGAGACAGTATAAAATATTCTATATATTGTCAGAATTTTTTCTCTTGAAATTAAAAATATATTTTCATGCATCATATTTAGTTGTATATGTTAATTATATACAAGTATGTGAAGATTGTAAAGGATTCTCAAAGAACTAATTATATGAAAAATTAAGTCCTGATGAAACGAATTAGTTTTTACAGCTCATACCTTAAATTATAATTTATAATATCATGAACAAAAAAAATGTCATAGATAATAAGGCTCAATAATGAAATAAACTTTATCGGATAAACTTTGTCGAAGATAAAATTTGTGCTCACAGAGTATTTTTTTTGATACCATAATTAAAAAATTATTTATTAGATCTAGTTTTTATAACTAAATTGGAGTACTTTTTGTACTTAAATTGAAATAGGTACATATTATATTTAATGTATGATAAAAGTGAAAAGAAAAATTTTAGAGTAGTTCATTGCAGTAATAAAAAACAAACTATTATATTGAGTTTATAACATTCTTTTGTTCACCACAGTTTATAAGCTACGTGATGTTATAAGCGAAAATTAAAACTCATTTTATCGGAACTTCATTTTTCATACAAAATTAGTCCGAGAGTCTCTTCTTACAATTAGTCTTTTCTTAACTTAACATGTCGTTATCTTTTTATTTATAGTTTTGAACAGGATTTCGACATTTTTTTTCTAATGATAATTTATTTTTTATTATAGAGGAAGCGATAAATAATATGATAAGTATGATTGGACAAGATTTATCTACTTAATAACATTTACGTAAACGAAACTGACACATGATGAGAATTTTTTTTTTAAATTTACTCTGAAAATATAGTAGTTGTGATACAATACAATATTTTAAAAATTTTTATCATGCACTTTAGTAAAATTAATCAAACTTATTTTATACTTTATTGTAATTTTATTAATGAATGAGAGAAGTTTACTAAAATTCTTCGAAATATAATGTTGTCTCACGACTATCATATTTTCAAAGTAAACTCTAAGAAAAAATTCTCTGCGTGCAGTTTTTCAATAATTTCCGTTACATATATTCACCGTATTTGAGTAGCCACGATTATCGCGAGAGCCAGGAATTTTTCAGCGTTCTGCGTTGTATTATTTAAAAAAGCGGCGTCCTCGGTGGCTGCGCGAAGCCATCCATTATCCGTAGTCCCGATAAATCCCGCCGAGGTGTTCGGGCCCCTTGTGTTTGGCGGATATATCAAGGCTTCTTTCGTCTCGTCGCTTCGCGCCAGGTCGCGATCGCCGTCGTCCTTTTCTACTTGTTCCTCTTCGCGCTGCAGACTTTCGAATCAGCCAAGATTGTCGATGCAACTCAGGGATGAGTGCGCCGATAAATCGAGAGATTTTTCCTTCGGTCACACGATATTTTCAAACGTTGATTTCGAAAATCATGTAATTAAATGAAATAAATAATGAAAAATCGAAAGAGAAATATGTAAATAAGTAGATAAATAGACACGTCATATTCTGAGAAGACATCTCTAAAAATAATGTAGAGCTCGTTATAAATAATTGAATATAATTGAACAATTAATGAATAATAATTAATATTTTGACATTGATTCATTTTTTCTTTCGTGTTTTGCTCTGGGAAAGTGGAATATGAAGAAATAGCTAAATTTATAGTCTTTTATTTTTATTATGATTACTTCTTTCAAATTCCTTATCGGAGAGAACTGTAACAGTTTGGCTGTAATAGTTTGAATTTTAAAATTAAGAATTTTCGCAACGCCACTATTTTTCCGAGATGAAGACTCGGAGGGCATCTCGTCGCGGATTAATTTTCGCGAATATAGCGGTGAGGTTGATTTGATTTAAATCTGTCCGCGAGCGCGTACCTAAATTGGTTCCTGCGGGAGACAGCGTCGTTGCTTTATCCTTACGACTTCTGCCGGAACCGAGATACCACGTTTTTCCCCGGCATCGAGAGATCTTCACACCGATGCTGGGTTGGTGATGGTGGTGACTGCCGAGAACGGGTGGTTGTAACAGCGGTAAATTCTCGTTAGATGCGCGAGAAAAACAAAGGGCGCCGACCTACTCGGTGATATTCTTTCCCTCTCTCTAGGTTTCTTACAGCACGAAAGGGTTGTCTGGCCTGCTTGCTTCCTAGTCTCCTTTCTCTCTTCCCCTTCTTGTAGTGAATTTCCGGTTACCGTCGTTAGCTTCCTTCTCTTTAATATATCTCTTATATAAACATTATA